CTGTCCCTGATGTTTTTCCAGGAGAGAAGTGGCTTCTTTGTTGCCCTTCTTGAGACCAGGCTTTGCTCAAAGAGTCTCGGCCTCACAGTGCGTGCAGATGCACTCACACCTGCCTGCTGCCATTCCTGAGCTAGCTCTGCACTGCTGGTAGCCCGATCCTGCAGTTGAAACACTTTTAAGACACGGTCCTGGTGCTTGCTGGTCTTTCTTGGGCGCCCTGGAGCCATTTTGGCAACAATGATGTTGAAATGTGTTTTGGGGGATAAAGTTCATTTTCTTGGCAAATATTGACTTTGCAATTAATTGCTGTTATGCTGAACACTCTTTTTAACATTCTGGAGTATATGAAAATTGCCGTTATAAAAACTGAAGCAGTAGACTTTGTAAATATTAACATTTGAATCATTCTCAAAACTTTTGGCCATAACTGTAGATACTCACGAGCTCCATACTCACTCCTTGCCAGACTGTTCTTTGCCATGCGAGACTTTCCAGCCTTTACCTGCCTGTCTTCTCTGTACCGACATTGCCTGTCCCTGATTCCCCAGCTCTTCTGCCTCCTGGTAAACCGACCCAGCCCTCTGTCCCTGACCAAGAGTTCAGCTTCTCCCTCCTGGTTCCTGTTTGCCAGTTTGTGACCTGTTTGCCTGCCTGCCAGAGACTTATTAAAGAATGGAACTTTACAACAGTAAAGTTGAGTCCTCTGTGCTGCATTTGGGTCCGTTCGCCACTCATTACAGTATAGTCTTGCCAGACATGGACCAAGCAGGACCACCTTCACTGGTTTGAGAGGATCGAGAATGCACTTGTGCAACTTGAGCAGAGAATGAAGGGGACTGAAGATCATGCCAGACATATTACTGAGGCCAACACCAACACCAACGCCTTGGCAGCTCTCTCCACCCAGTTGCAACAGCTGTTGTCCACTCCTCTGCCTGCAGTCCCAGCTCCCACACAACCTCCTCCTCCACAGCCCAGGATTATCTCCGAGCCCATAGTGGGAACCCCAAAGCGATATGATGGGAATCCTGAACTCTGCAGTCCTTTCCTGACTTCCTGCTCCTTACTCTTCAGTCTGCAGCCATACACGTTCGCCACGAGGAGGCCAGAGTGGCATATGTGATCAGCAACCTGACTGGCAGAGCCCTCCTCTGGGGAACAGCAGAGTGGGAGAGGCAGACTCCTGCTTGTGCATCATTCCAGGCCTTTTCTGAGGAGCTACACAAGGTTTTCGGGTGGGGCACCTTTATTCCCGATGCTGCCCTTGACCTACCCTCACTGCACCAAGGGAACCAGTCAGTGACTGACTTTTCCATCGACTTCCGGACCAGGGCTTGTCAAAGCGACTGGAACATGGCAGCTCAGTGTGATGCTTTCCTGCATGGTCTGGCAGAGTACGTCAAAGATGAACTGGTTTCCTATCCCCTACCCTCCACACTGGATAAACTCATTGAGCTCACTGTCCGGCTGGATCTCCGCGTCCAGGCCCAGAGAAGGGAGGGGAAACAGAACACCTCTGGTCTTCTCAACCCAGCCCGCTGGCCAAGTTCCTCATCTGCGTCCAGATCTTTTTCCGCTGTTACTGTAATGATCGTTCCTCGGACCCAAAAACACCCGGAGGCAAACGGTCAGTTCAAACAGGTTTATCCAAGGGAAAACTCCTGTGGGCGTGGTCAGGCAGGCGAGGTCGGCACCGTGTGGTCAGAATCCAGCAACAATCAGGGGGTAATCCAAAACGTGGTCCAGAACGAGCGAGGGTCAAGGCCAGGGAAGCAGTCCAGAGGATCAGGCGGGAGCGCGGAGTCAGGCAGGCTGGGTCGGGGACAGGGGCAGGCAGGCAGGGCACTGAGTCAGACCAGGCAGAACTCAGGCGAGGCAGAAGAATCAGACGAGGAACAGGCAGGTTCGGAAAACAGGGTCAGTCAGGTCGTAACAGGCAGGAAGGCAGAATAATATTGCTGGAAGTACTCACACCGTTTGTTTAGGTACGTTCTGGCCCAGGTGAGTGAGTGAGTGGTGTTTAAGTACTGACCCGGACAGGTGCGACCAATGTCGCTAATTGCAGGGAGTGAGTGAGAGCCGGTGGGCGGAGCCCGAGCGTCACAGTTACGGGGAATGTTGTGGAGCCTGATCCCATGCAGGTGGTTCGCACCAGGCTTACACCTGAAGAACGAGAGCTCCGCCGTAAGGGGAATCAGTGCATGCACTGTGGTCAAGCCGGACATTATGTTTCTCATTGCCTGTTAAAAGATAGGGCTCACCAGTGAGTGAAGAAATCCTGGTGAGTCACATGGCAGCAAAATCTTCCTCCTCAAGCCCTCCCGGTTCCAAGTCAAGCTCCCCTTTTCTGGTAGGGCACACACACTGCCCTCGTTCATAGACTTTGGTGCAGATTCCAATATCATGGCTGAGAGTTTAGCCATACAACTGGAACTAGAGAAGATTCTGCTTGACACTCCAATTCCTGCCAAAGCCCTGGATGACCATCTTCTGGGGACTGTCATGCACCAGACTTCTCCTGTCCACATGCTGCTCTCCGGTAATCACCATGAGACCATCCAATTTCACCTCCTGTCATCTTCCAACATTCCAATGATCCTAGGCTACCCGTGGCTCCGTCGGCACAGGCGACTTACCACATTCAGACATACTTGTTTCAGTATGTTATGTAGATGGAATTGTAATTAAATAAAATAAAATAAATGTTGTGTGTCTGATGAGGGTTCATGAAAAAACACATTGTGAATTTAATGGTTTAATCCAAATTTGTCAGTTTCATTGAAATGTTCACAAACATACTTACTGCACTGAATGTTAAGGTCTTTTTTGCATGCACCAAGTCCAGTAGCCATTGAAAATGTACAGGTAAGATTGTCTCAATTGGGATTTGGGATTCATACCATTGAAAACCATCCAATACCTTGCCAAGCCTGTTTGGCTACCTGGGTGTACATAAACTATTGCTGTGCAGATCTCAACTGGAGCGTAGTCCAGTTGGATGACAGTCAGTAGAAGAATGCATACCTCAGACAACAAAGTGCATAGTTCACTGTCACACTTCTACACTAAAAAAAATATTTCCCAGACATTGACACATTAAAGACATCAGCATACCATAGTGCCAAGTGTTGTTTAAAACTGCTGGATAAGGAAAAAGATAAATACAATGTTAAATTAGGAGGGAATAACGATTAAAAGGTTAATTAATTCAGTTAAGTTAATGACAATTAGAATCTACTCTTTTGTGATATGATGATAACCCAGTCAAATCAAATTAATTGTAATCCATAATATTCCAGTTTCTGTCCACTTCAAATGTCAATTACAAAAAAGTGGCCATTCCTCAATGACTCTCTATAGCTTTGACCAACCTTGATACAGGATTAACATCTGGTTATTTATGGTTTTATATAAAGTGTATTAACTGTTTTTTTTATTTTCAGTGCAATATTTGGCTTGAGAGTTTTTATTGTTTTGGTAGGTTTCTTTTGAAGATAAAGGTGATTGTCCCATATCGTGGAGTTTTTGGTTCCAGTACATTGCCAGTGGACATCTTTAGATGCCATATTCATTTGATTTTGCAGGATAAAGTTTCAGTATGAAAATGTGTGAAAAGTCTCACAGCATTAACATCCCAAGATCGTGTGGCATTGTTCTGCTAAGCATACAAAGCAAAATATCTCCATTAATTCTTTCTATTCTCAGATACAAGGTTGCCATCACCAAACACAAGGACTCAGAGCAGACATGCAGCAGTCTCTACAATCAGAATGATATGTGGAGTCCTGCTGTTGACTTCAGCAAGTATATTGAAGACAATGAAAGTATTGAAAATGAAGTACGTTAAGTATATTATGGTACACATATATATATATATAAATGTACGTCATATATTCATGTACTTCAAAAATGAATAACAATAAAAATAACTTTGCATAACGTATCTACAGGACCTTGTTGCCTGGGTGACCACTGGTTTCCTTCATATCCCTCATGCTGAAGACATCCCAAACACAGTAACTGTGGGCAATGGAGGTGGGGTCTTGCTGCGACCCCATAACTACTTCAATGAGGATCCATCTATCCATTCTGCAGATGCAGTGTACTTTAGCCCTGGTGACGAAGAGAGCTGTGAGAACAACAGGATGGCCTGCTATGCTGAAGAGATCTGTAGACCCACTCTAGAGCCTTTTACCTACCACGGTTTTGAGGGTGTCATGAAGTTTGAAGATTGGGAGTGATTTGTTGTGCATTGCTGAATAAAGATTTCACAACTATAATTACCACAGAGATACTGTTGGTAAAATTGGAGATGATGTATTATAAATGATTGTAACAATGTATTTGATGTTTCATTAGTTTCTATGCTTTGTTTATAGAGGAAAATGCATTCTACAAGCAACATAGCATGGTGAGTTTCATCCTGGCACTTATCACAGGTCACTGCAGTTAAATGTTTAGCCATTTAGCAACTCAGGTAGAAAAGAGGGGCCTCAATGGCCCCTGCTCTTTGGTTCTGAGACCGTCCACTCTCGGGTAATCTCGCTTCTGGTGTCCTGTGTTCATAGGTGCAGAGCTGTCGAAGTGCATTAATATATCTTATTTTTCTAGCTTGTTGCAAATGCTTGTTATGGGAATTGTTGGGTTTCTGTAGTTAACTTCAGAGTAGGGTCTGACCTGCTCTGTTTGGAAAGCGCTGTGAGACAACTGTTGTTGTGATGTGGCGCTATATAAATAAAATTGAATTGAATTGAATTGAATGGGCTTCATGGTAGCACCCTTGGTGCCCGTGCATGCAGTTTTGGTGGCGCTCACACCTAACAACATGATTTACGACATCACTGTCTTCAGACTTAAACAGTTCAGCAAATAGAATGCCACCTTTGCTTTGATTTGCTTTGCTTGTTTTTGACTGCATTCCTGTTGGCTTCCGTCTACGCTGGGCTCTGGGCTGCCCATTTCTCCCCCTCTCCCCCATTTCTCCCCCTCTTACATCCACCAGCTCAACGTTTTGCTTCAGGCCAATACCCGTCATTCTGGGTGCCCAGATCAACTGCTCCGATACAGCTGGATTCTTGATATTTTAATATTCAGTGGGCTATCACTTGACTATCACATATGACATGTTGCACGTAGTTGGGATTACTTCAGTTTTTGTGTTATTTCCTTTGGGGTTTTATCATACTGCATTTGTACTATTTTTGTCTCATTGCCAGTTTTTGATTGATCAAAACTCTGATATTTTAATTTCAATTTTCATTTTACATTGGATAATTCACTAGAAGTCTCTGTCCCTATGTGCCTTTGTGCATTTGGTTTTTGTATAGCAATTTTAACTATTTTTAAAAATAAAAAACTCTTCATTGAAACTGGTACCACGTCCATTGCTTTAATGTCTTTGAGTGCCTTGTGGTTGGTGTAATTATTACGTTTCACATTTTTAGCATGTCCTAGCGCTACCTCAGACCACATTCACAATACACAACAGAGCAGAGCGGTGGAAATTAGCAAGTCAACTTTTTATCGCACGTTTCAGTGGATAAAAACACAAAATTAGGATTTGATATGCTCTTTTGTGTGGTAGATTTGTACCCCCTGTTGCTGACTGAGTTTTCTGTTTTAATGTCAGAAAGTTAGTTCTGATTGTTAATTTATATTTCACAAAATACAACAAACCTTAATTGCAGATCAAATTCAAATTAATGATCATTTGGGCCGCAGCTGTAGCCTAACGGTTACAGCGGCGGACCATGTGTGAAGACCTCATAAGCGCGCGGCCTGGGTTCGAGTCCAGCCCACGGCCCTATCTCTCAGGTCTCCCCCTCTCTATCTCTGCCCCCTTTCCTGTCAAGCTACTGTCATTAAAGGCCACTAGAGCCAACAAAATCTTTTTTTTTAAAAAGAAAGAAAAAAAATAATGATAATTTGAACAATTGTTCATGCATTCACAAAGGTGTGTCTGGTATCAAGGAACATTTTTTCCATCATTGACTGCAGTTGGGGAACATGGACAGAAGGATAGCTTTTTTTTTTACAACTAGCTAGAGTATGACTAAAGAGGCACTGACCATAACTTCAAGAACATAAGGACGACAAGTGAACAGGGATTTTTTATAAATGGATTTTTTGGGTAAATTAGAGCCAGCCTTGATATCCTAGACCTAGAGCATATTGTGAGTTGCTAGGACACGGTGAAGACCTACTATTTACATATTTCTTCATTGATCTAAGTCCAGATGGGATGGAGCCTTTGTAAATAATGCTTGAGGGAATAGTAAAACCCCAAAACAAATAAAGGCAGTTCTAACAGAAGTGCAACATGCAACAGCAAAAATAGGTCTACAGCCTATTGGAGGGTCACCTGAGCAAAAATGATCAGCTTTGTCCAAGTAAAAGTTTAAAAACTAATATTACAGTTAGAGAGGATACCATGGTTTTGGCAATTGGTTCCATGGGCGATGGATTTCAAAAGTAAAAGCCCTGCCTATGTAACCCACCTGGTTTTATTCTCCCCAAGTTGTTTGTTTATCAAATTAGACTATTGGCAAACGGAATGGCCATCCATCCATTATCGTTACCGCTTATTCCCTAATGGGGTCGGGGGCGAGAACATGAGCCTAGTGATCAATGGGCAAGAGGCGGGGTACACCCTGGACAGTCCCCCAGTCCATCGCAGGGCAAAACGGAATGTAATTTTATTATTCGACTACATATTACCTTTAAGTCAATAATTATTTTCGAAATGATGATGTCATTACTGATTGTTTTTTAAATAAACAGTGTTGGATTCATGACATACAGAGGCTTCATCTACTTGGGAAACTATGAACTACATAGTGTTGTATTTAGAAGTTTTAACGTGCCGGAAATGATTATGTAGACAGAGGAATCATTCCACAGTCAGTTTATAAGGGAAAATGCAAGGTCACCAGACGGGGGTCATGTGACGCAAATGGCGGAGTAGGCAGCTCATTGCTTGTGCTCCCGCAGCTCGGTATCCTTCAGACAATTTTTCTGTGGAACACGGTGACTTCAGTGGGAAGTCTTCGATGCCTAGACCTAAGAGAGTGCCTTCTACGCAAAACATACTTAACTTGCTCGCGAAACCCCCTTTATCAGGTCATCAGTCACCAAACTCGCCATCTAGCAGCCAACTAACATGGTGGACTACAAAAGGCAGCTTCTGGGTCAAGTTGATGCTGACAGTCTGGTGGAAAGAATAACTGTGCTTAAAGGTGTGGAGGCTTCTTTGATAAGAAGATCGACCCAATTCTGAATGAGCTCAAGGCATGTTAGTCTAAAATCACACTGCTGGATGCTCATTTTAAAGAGGCTGAAGCCACGTCACTAAACCTTCCGACATCGATAGTAAACTGGAGGTAATAGGAGCTGGCGGTACAACATACGTGTCATCGGGCTCCCTGAAGGCAGCGACGGTACCGACCTGGTGGCTGCCGTCCTGGATAAAGTGTTGCAGTACGAAGGAACTTCCTTCGTTACCACTGCTGACTGAGAGCCAGCTTTCATTCTCCACAACACCGTTATGTTTTTATGGTACTGGACTTATCAGGTTCGTCTAAAGAGCGGGTGAGCATATATAACTCATTTGTTTAACGCCAGTCTGTTGTTTTGTTTCGGCCTGTGCATTAATGGTTGCTCACACACTGTGTAACTAGTTTCGATTAGAGCTGTAAGCCAGGGGTTGAGGTGCTTTACACATTTAAGGTTAGATAAGACCCGGTCCAGCATCTTCCTCACTTTGAGCAGGGAGATTACCTCACACCCCTGATGGGTGTAACAGACCAAAGTCTGACCCCGATGCCTATTGGGGTTATATTTCCTTTGTGCAAAGTTCTGTTTTAAATGTTAGCGAAGCAGTCTATCTATTATTTCCCTCTTTTCTTCTTTATGGTTTGTTTTTCAGTTTAGTTTCAGGTTGCCCAGGTGTTCTCAGTATTTTCATCAAGGATTGTTTCCTCAATAGAAGATGGCCAGTGATGGACCCACTCTTAAATTGTGCAGTTGGAATGTGAAGGGTATACATAATCCTATAAAAGGTATAAAGATTTTAAGTTTCCTGAAAAAGGAACATATTCATATAGCCCTCCTACAAGAAACGCACCTCACTCCGAGTGAGCACTTGAAGTGTGACTGGGTTGGGCAGGTGTATAGCTCATCTTTTACTAGTAAGAGCAGAGGTGTTGCCATTCTAACAAATAAACATTTACCAATATCCAACGTCCAAATTATGTCTGATAAATCTGGTCGATGTCTTATGTTAAAGGGCTGTCTCCATGGCCAATTTATCTCATTTTTGAATTTTTATTTCCCCCCGGTACAGTTAAATGAATTTATCTCGCAAGTGTTCTCCTTGTTTGCTGATTGGATTGGGGCGAATACTGTCATAGCTGGAGACTTTAAATGCCATTTCTCTCCAGTGATGGACAAATAGTCTTCCACACGGAATTCAATTTCTAGTAGAGCTAAGGCTATATCAGATATATGCAGTGAACTTGATCTTGTGGACACCTAGCTGGTTTTACATCTTAACGATAAATCATTTATATTTTCACATTCTTGAACCATGACTTTTTGACTTTTAGAAATTTTGAAAGAGAAATTGGACTATTTATTCAAAGAGAGCAAGACTCCTGATGTTTCCCCTGACCTGCTGTGGGATACCATGAAAGCCTATGTCCGTGGTCTAATTATATCTTACACCGCTAGACTTTAAAAGAACAATAGGAATAGGCCGTGGGCCAGAATCTGTACGATGACTTTTCGTTTGAACTTTTTGGGGGCAACTTTCCTCCAGTTTAATTAGATACTTTGGACTTCAGTGATGTCTAAAAGCCAATGTTCCCACGTTTTCACTTGCACATTAATTAATTACAGCCAATTCAAATTTCGGTAGATCCACATCTTGCCAAAAGGTGGCTAAAAGTAAGAAAATCTTCATATTTTTGGTTTTAACCAAGTAATCTTTACCAAAATTCTTATCATTAAGGTTGATCATTAGAAAAGGGTTTTTATGCAAAAACTGCTGGACAATTGCAATTGAAATGCAATTTTGA